GTGTGTGTGTGTGTGTACCATCAAATTAGATCTGACTGGTACAGGAGACTGCCCCTCCTTCTCCAGCAGAGCATTAAGTAGAGTCTGGGTTTCCCCCCGCCCCCCAGGTCCCTGTCGGGGCCTGGGTTTCAGCTGTCCACACCACAGCAGTGGGCAACGAGCTTAAAGCCCCTGATGGCTCTGGGCACTGACTCTCACCAGTGGCTATGGATGAAGTCACAGGCGATTTTCAGCCAAAGCCGAACTTTTATCACAGACTAGCACACAGAAGATGGGCTATGACCTTAGCTGTCTCCTCCTCCAGGAGACCTCGGGGCCTTACACAGGGGAGGGCCAGGGTACTGGAATGTGAAGAATCTTGACAGTAGCATCCGATGTCCAGGTGTTCGGTCAGTGATTACACTGGTCAAGTCTTAGGTCTTGTCTTATCAAGATTCCAGAGATACCTGGCACTGTTTGTAAATCAGGATTAAGGATGCCACTCCTGGCTACAGATTACAAGGACTGATGGGAAGCACAGCAGGGCTTAAGTCTGATAAATTATCATTAATCATTAATTATTGAGCTAGACTAAGAATGCTTTTAAAATTTTATTTAAAAAATGTGTTAGTGCTTGGAGAGGTGAGGTTCCTAACATTATACCCATTAATTGTAAGTCTTTTTTGCCTAACGTATTAAAAAGTATTAGTTTCACATTCTACAGGGTACTGAAAATGGTTAGTTTTCTAAAATTATTTTTTTTCCTGTAGGTTGTAGGCTCTCCTGTTATTTGTGGGTTTCTCAATTCTGGGAAGCAGGGCAGTGATCAGCTGGCAGGCAGTAGGCCTCTCCGCTGGGCAAGTGGCCGATGAACTAGCTCGAAGGTTTCCTTCACCCCACGGTGCTGACTGTTCCTCAGACTGCTGTCTTCAACAAACAAGGGAGATGAGCACAGCAAAGACACAGCACTCGTAGGAGCCAGGAGCAGTGGGAAAGGGTTACTAAGCCAGTCCCAGATTTCCGATGAGCTGGTGGGCTTGATTGAGAACGGGTCCATCCCTGCCGGAGTCAGGACTGGGGACTGCAGAGGTGAGCGGAGCACCTGAGTTGGGAATGTTAAGAAGCCTAACTAAGGTGCTGCCCTAGAAACGGATTCCAGTCAAGCACTGAATGCCGGGTGTAAAGTCTTCTCCAGGAAGGGCTTTCTACTATGAGGATAGAGCTAGTCCCACAAAGGGAGATCTGGTGGCTTAGTGATAGGGAACCATGCTGCCAGCCTGAAGGCATGCGGTTCAAATCCACCAGCTGCTCCACAGGAGAAAGATGGGCAGACTCCTCCTGTGTGACTTACTGCCTCTGAAAACCCTCTGGAGGGTCATCTATGGGAAGACACCAACTCGACGGTTCCCACAAAGGAAAGTGTGGGACCCCAGAGACACAGATCATCATCAGAATGTCAAGGATACTTAGATGAACACGTGCCCATCAGGGATTGGTCGGGAGAAGCTTGAAGACCCAGAAAACTTGGGGAGGTACTCGAGGATGTTGAGACCAGACTTCCCACTCAGTTCCAACAATACGGTTAAGTAAGAGAAAAACAAAGTGTTATAAATCCTTTTTTTTTTTGTATTGTACCAATGAGGTGCAAACTGGTGACCTAAGAGGATTATGAACTAGAGCGAAATAGGCAACATTCTCATGATCGTCAAATCTGAGAGCTTCCAACCATTCAAGGTCGCTCCTCACCTGGGTGAACAAGGGCACAGCAGTATTTGTTCAAGCCATTGTGTACAGCCAGGCTGGGGACGTGGTGGCTGGTCCCCATCTGAGAGGGACAGGCCCTTTGTGTCCTGTGACGACCCCCTGGGTTCCCTCCCCTTTGCTGATTTCAACATCAGAACCAGCCAACCTGTTTTCTAATCTTAGTACGGTAACAGGTTCCTGCATCTGCCATGGCGGCATCCCAAACGGCGATGGGGAAATGTCGGTGACAGGGCTGGGTGGTGTCCGTTTAAAGACCAAGGTGCCCCTGATTCAAGCCACAGTCTTTTCAATCGCCTTCTGTGCATCTGAGAACTGCGCAGTGACTAAGGCTGACAGAAGAACTGATGGGAGCAGTGTTGATGGTTTCAAAGTCTGAGATCTTCCCCTCAGGTTACCAGTAGTCATTTCATAGGCCCAGTGCAGGTGAGGGTGATGGTACCACACAGGGGAATGTTAGAGTGTCACCTGCTTGGGGTTGGCTTGGCTGGTTGTTTTATTCTTTTTTATTATTATTATTATTTTTAACAACAGTTTACAGAAAAGTTGGATT